GAATGAAAGAGTAAAGTACAGCTGGTTGAATTGATTCATCACATTAGCATATATGTCCAATTTTCTTAGTCACTGCAATGTATAAATTACTGAATGCAGAAACAGTTCTTTGTACGTGATGCAATTTTTCCACACGACTATAATTTTTTAAAAATGTGGTGATGATATTTTCATGCTTCCTTACGATGCAAATGGGTTAAACAACGATCCGGAATAACAGAGTAAAAAGATACAGATGCCAGGACTGTATTTCACTACCAGAACTGCAGACATTGGATTAATAACCGGGTCGCAAATCGCCGGAATACAAAAGACGAGATTTACAATCGCGAAGAAAGAAAACAGTCGGCGTCCTCGCCTCTGGACATCGGGGGAACAGGATGCCCCCCATCCCCCGATGCTCATCCTTGAACAATATGAACCCGCTTCTATGGAAGCGGCGGGAGCAATCGAACTCTTCGGCTCTTTGTTTCGAGCGTCGATTTACGAGACCGCGGGGTTCTCCAAGAAAACAGAGGAGACCGGGAGAAAAAGTCGCGGGCTCCGATGACAACGGCTGAATTTACCGGCAATTGGTAATGCGGCTCTCGACTGTAGCGCAATAAATCGGCATGACCAACTGGTCGAGCCAACGAGCCGTGTCCCTCGCTGCAACCCCTCTCTTTGTCTGTCCGATAACAGTCGGAGAGAGAGAGAGAGATAGGAGAGCGGCGGGAAGAATGCGGACGGTGGCAGGGAGAAAGAGGGAAAATCGGCGGAACGGCAGCGAGGGATGAAAAGCCGGCGGGGGTGGAACCAGGGCTCGGGGGCCTGCACAGACTATCCCGACGTTTACCGCACGCTATTCTTCATACTCCATTATCCGTGCTCCGTTCCGCTCCGCTCCATTATGCTGGCACCGCGTATAAACGAGTCGCGCGACTACCAAAGTCACACCAGTTCACATTCTGCTGGCCTTCGCGAAACACTCGATAAACACCGCTTTTCTGCGGCCGCTTCGCGCCTTGCGTGTGGCGAGAATTGGTGCTTAAGGTCTCAGATAAGCAGAGCGAAAGTAAAGCGTCCAGTTCGAAGAGATTATGCTGACTCTATTCAAGTTTGAAGTCAACCGAATGTGGGAACTGAGAATTTACGAAGTCTTAGTTTAACGTACGTTATATGAAATCAAGTCATGATCTTTTAAACAAATTAAAGCAGTTGTATTATAATAAAGCAGTTGAATTATAATATTTT